AAAAAAAAAAAAAAAAAGAAAAATGGAAGTGCATGTAAAGTGCATGCTATTTAACTAAGTCTTTCTCCCCAAGTCTTTATCCAAGAAAAAAATTCAGAAGAGGAAAAAAAATAGCTAAGTGTTATTTATAGTACTAAATATCATATTATACTATAGTATTATTATTCATAATAACAAAGTGGAAATAAGCTAAACATTTAACAAAAAAGGAAAGGTTTCATAAATAAGGCTAGTGCCACACATAAAATATTGAGTAATCATCAAAATAATTGCCAGGGCTGGAACAAGATAATAATATTCATGATCTACAATTTGAAATATTTTAAATGCAGAACAAAATTTTGTGTAGACTGAATACAGTTCTTTAAAATATACATATGAAGAAGGTCTAGAAGAAAACCTAGAAATATTAAAATAGCTTTAAGAATGGGAAGATTGTCAGTATAAATGTTTTCTAAACATTGCTAATAACAGACATAAGGTTTTAAAAGAAGAAAACTAGCTACCAGTAAGTATATATGCCATTTGTTCCTACAGTTAAAATTGATCAGGCAGGGCGCAGTGGATCACACCTGTAATCCCAGCACTTTGGGAGGCCAAGGTGGGTGGATCACTCAAGGTCAAGAGTTTGAGACCAGTCCAGCCAACATAGTGAAACTCTGTCTCTACTAAAAAGACAAAAATGAGCTGGGTGAGGTGGCACACGCCTGTAATCCCAGCTACTCGGGAGGCTGAGGCACTAGAATCACTTGAACCTGGGAGGCAGAGGTTGCAGTGAGCTGAGATCGTGTCACTGCACTCCAGCCTAGATGACAGAGTGAGACTCTGTCTCAAAAGTAAAATAAAACAGACCATCTACAAACATTAGAAATACTAAGAGTACTAAAATTTATAAAATATGCCATTCCTCTATAGGCCAAAATTGTCACAAACAGCTATTTTGATCCTGTATCTCTGAAATAATTTCTAGATACCCTGATTTATAGACCTGAACTACCTAAAAGATGCTGTCAAGATCAACATAAAACCATGGGCTTTTCTGAGTAAAAATATACACATTTGTTGCAAAATACGATACAACAATACATCCAGCTCCTACAAACGTCTTCTTGACAGTCACAGAATAACCCTAAGAGAAATAATCTGGCAGCCCACAAACAATTCCCAAAGACAGATGCGAAAAGACACAGCAAGAACTGCTCACTTGTCTGAAAAGGATCGGGAAGTCCTCCGCACTCTCAGCCTTCCGGATTCCCTTCCCTCCGCCACCTTCAGAAGCTTTGATCATCAATGGAAAACCAATTTTTTCTGCTGCCTGGATGCAAAGGGACAAACAGACCTCTTTAGAGGTTAGCCAGTTGCCAACCACTACCAGGACAGAGGCAGTTCGGTTCCGGCCCCCCTGGCCCCCGCAGGCTCTGCATTTACCTCCAAGCCCTCCTCTACGTCTTTCACACAACCCTGGTCATAAACATCTTCTGGGACACTGATTATTTTTCCCTGCTGCAGATCATCTTCTGTCCACTCCACTGTCAGGCCTGGAGAGTCACAAAGAAAGCTGATTCCTCCCAAATCCAGGAGAAACACACACAACCCAGAAACCACAGGGCCTCTCCCTCCTGACATAGTGCTAGACCTGGGCTTCTGGACCAGTGGAATACAGACACTCCCTTCAGCTTCTCACAATGGCTTTTCATTTCCTCAAGAACTAACCCAACCTTGAATGAGAAATCAAGCTTAAGAAACTAACTGCCAGGCGCGGTGGCTCATGCCTATAATCCCAGCACTTTGGGAGGCTGAGGTGGGGGGATCGCTTGAACCCAGGAGTTTAAGACCAACCCTGGCAACATAGTGAGACCTTGTCTTTACAAAAAAATGTTTATAATTAGCCAGGCACGGTGGCATGGGCCTGTAGCCCCAGCTACTGGAGAGGCTGATGCAGGAGGATCAGTGGAGCCCAGGAGGTCAAGACTGCAGTGAGCCATGATCATGCCACTACAGTCTAGCCTGGGTGACAGAGTGAGACCCTGTCTCAAAAACAAAACAACAAAAAAGGAAAGACACTCAGACTGAGCCTACCAACAACAGCCATATTAATCTAAATGCAAAAAAAAATCCCAGTTCTACCTTATGGAATCATTTATATGTGAATAATTATTTCCCAAAACCATGCAAAGATTTAACAAATGAAAGTAAATTTTCCATCCCAAATTTAAAATTCAACTTTTAGGGGAAAAAAAAATCAAATTTAATAGGAAACTTCTGAGACTGTCTTACTTTTTAATTTGTCCTAGAAATTCCACTGTTAGGAATTTATCCTAAGAAAATTATTAAAATGCACACATAAATTTAGCTGTAAGATTATCAAAGCTCCATTCCTTTATTTTTTAAATTAGAAAAAATAAATTGGAAACAATCGAAATTATTTAACTATGAGGACTATTAAGTCAATTATGATACATCCATAAGACATAATAATCCTATGCAGGCATCTTAAATGGTATAAAGTATATTTTTTACATAGAAAGATATTCATTAGTGGGGAAAAAAAAGTCACAAACTAGGAAATGTAAGATGGGTTGTTGTTTCCTTTTAAAGACAGGGTCTCATCACGCAGGCTGGAGTGCAGTGGTACCATCATAGTTCATTGTAACCTCAACCTCCTAGGCTCAAGCCATCCTCCTGCCTTAGCCTCCTGAGTAGTTGGGACTACAGGCATGCCCCACCACAACCAGGTAATTTTTTTTTTTTTTTTAACTTTGTCTAGAGATGGGGTCTTGCTATGTTGCCCAGGCTGGTCTTGAACTCCTGGCTTCAAGTGATCCTTCTCCCTCAGCCTCTTAAAGCACTGGGATTACAGACGTGA